GCTTTCTTGTGCATCATCTTTAGAAGAGGCTTCCTTCTGGGACGACAGCCATGCAGACCAATTTGATGCAGTGTGCGGCGTATGGTCTGAGCACTGACAGGCTGACCCCCCACCCCTTCAACCTCTGCAGCAATCATACGTCTATTTCCCAAACACAACCTCTGGATATGATGCTGAGCACGTGCACTCAACTTCTTTGGTCGACCATGGCGAGGCCTGTTCTAAGTGGAACCTGTCCTGTTAAACCGCTGTATGGTCTTGGCCACTGTGCTGCAGCTCAATTTCAGGGTCTTGGCAATCTTTTTATAGCCTACGCCATCTTTATGTAGAGCAACAATTCTTTTTTTCAGATCCTCAGGGAGTTCTTTGCCATGAGGTGCCATGTTGAACTTCCAGTGACCAGTATGAGAAAGTGAGAGCGATAACACCAAATTTAACACACCTGCTCCCCATTCACACCTGAGACCTTGTAACACTAATGAGTCACATGACACCGGGGAGAGAAAATGGCTAATTGGGCCCAATTTGGACATTTTCACTTAGGGGTGTACTCACTTTAGTGGCCAGCGGTTTAGACATTAATGGCTGTGTGTTGAGTTATTTTGAGGGGACAGCAAATTTACACTGTTATGCAAGCTGTACAGTCACTACTTTACATTGTAGCAAAGTGTCATTTCTTCAGTATTGTCACATGAAAAGTTATAATAAAATATTTACAAAAATGTGAGGGGTGTACTCACTTCTGAGGGAGGGTCTTCATAAAAGCAGGAAATGATCAGCGTGTTTATGGGAGAAGGAACAGAGCGTTGTAGAATAAAGGTAAATTATGTGAAAAATAATGTTAAAAAAAAATTTAATAAAACAAAGCATTAACACATGTTAGGCTGCACCCCATAAACACAATCAAGCCTAGAAAAAAAACAGTCACCCACCCCTTTAAGACAGTGACTTGCTGCCACCTACTGGCAGTTTTAGATCCATATTTAGAGAATAATTTCATTAAAAAAAAAATCCCATTTCAATATTCATTTTTATACACATTAATGCCCATTTAAATCTCATAGGATTATTAATGCAATTGGAATTGCAGTGTAAACGCATTCATGCCACCACTGAACCGTGTAAATATACCTAAATGCCACTTCAGATGTAGCTCCTGAAAACAATGCTATGGCCACACTGTAGACGTAAAAGATTTTACTACTTTTTTTTAAATGTTTGTTCAATGCTTTTGTTTTTTTAACAGCAATTTTAAATGATCTTTTGGGGGGTAAATTCTCAGTGTGACCGAGATTTGACTGATTAATGTGAACATGTAATTAATTAGATTAAAACATGTAATTGCTCGACAGCCCTTATGTGTGTTTATAAATGTGTGTGTGTGTGTGTGTGTTTAAGCAACATTTCCCAAAGAGCATAAGCACCCCAGTCAGTGTCTGTGATATGGAAATGTGACTAACAGGTGTGTGTCACTCTTCTCCAGGTGGCATTAGCTGTGCTACATGCAAACATGGATCAACTTCTGTCCTGTTCAGATGAGGGAGAGGCCATGACTATTCTGGGCAGGTGAGTGTGGCTAATACAGCATCATATAGTTCATAGTTTACAAGATGACTGTGAATGCAATATGAAGGCAATGTTAATTTAACAGTTTTGAGTTTTTAGACGTTCACATTGGCATAAAGCAATTAAAGGTGCCATAGAATGGAAACTGTATTTACCTTGGCATAGTTGAATAATAACAGTATAGTTCTGTACATGGAAATGACATACCGTGAGCCTCAAACACCATTGTTTCCTCCTTATGTAAATCTCATGCATGCAAAAGACCACTGAAAAATAGGCGAATCAGAACATAACACTGACTGTGACGTTACAGTCGGGATCACTAATAGTTACGCCCCCAAAATTTGCATATACCCGCCCATGTTCTATGCCAGCTGCCAACCGAACCTGCACAGCCGAATCATCAGAAGTTCTGCAGGTATTGTGAAGAAACAAGCGAGGACAACAGCGAAAATGGCAGATCATGGAAATAAATGTTATGTTCCAGGCTGTGCAGGGGATGTGATGTGCAGGGATGGGTTGGTGTCTGTATTCAGAAAGGCACAGAAAACAAATAACATGCGTTCTAATAAAATAACCCGCTGTAGTTTACATAGAGCATGTGCGATCGCAAATCTCGAAAGTGAAAGTAAAAATCATCGTGCATTCAAAAGTTTCAATGCCCCGCATATTAAAAGCGGCTCCCTGATTCCCGCATTTTATATATATAGTATAATTACCCAACAATATAACTGCGAGAGACAGTATTGAAATATATATTTTCCCTGTGTTTCCTTCCTGCTGTGTGAGCTACTGAAATGAGCCGCACTGTGAAACAGCCAATCAGAGCAGAGCTCAACGTTATTATTCATGACCCTTCCAAATAAGGTAAAAACAGACCATTTCATTCTAGGGACAAATCCTAGGGTTGTATATGGACATGTAAAACCGTTTCTAGAGATTTTTTGCCTTTACCTAAGCCACATTCCTTTTATGTAGATATCAGAGAACAATTTAAAATATTGTATCAATGCATTCTATGGCACCTTTAATTAGTTTTGTTTTCAGTTTTTACTGTATGATATTTGACTCACAAATGAAGTCTCTGAATGATCAAACCTTTGCTGTTGCACTCAATCTACTACATGCCTTCTGTCGTCTGATTGATAGTTTAGACTTTTTTAGCAAAGAAAAAGTTTAGTATAATTGTAGAAATGTCCACCTTCAGCTCGTGCTTCACATGTCTTTTTGCTTTGAAATCTGTACTGGTTTTTGTAAAGTAAATGTAAGAATAACCTTGATAATGTTAGTAATATTTCAAGATGAACACTTACTGAACTGAAGCAGCTTCAGTTTACTTGATTATCCAGACATCTTTTTTTAATTTTTTTAGAAAAATTAATGAGTATCAAATATGATCATCAGGCTTTTGAGGAACGTTTATTTGTTCATCTCTCAATCATCATTGTATTGCATTGGATTATATTGCGTTTTGATCATCAAGCATTTATATCATCTTACCAAGACATATTATTGGATATATAGAGTGACTGATATTTATATAATTTTATGCAAGTATCTGCTATACTGTTATAAAGATTGACAATCATCAGAATTTCATCTTACTTTTTGGTCATATATGCACCAAATGTAATATTTATTGCTTATTTTGGGCCTGTGAGTAAGATTGAGCTGGTTGTTGTTTTTTTGTTTTTTTTTACCATATTCTCACTAAATCGTACTATATGAGCCATAAAAGCCTGATGGATCAGATGTTTATTTTTATTTTTATTTTTTTAATGCAAACTTTAGGCTTTACAGGGTTAAGTTTTATTATCCCTTTTCTAGTGTCTGGGGTTTGTGAAGATGCACTAAATAAGGTTTGTTCTGTTTCTGGATCCTGCAGATATTTGGATAATGTTGTAAATAAGCAGACCGTTTCTCCACCAATTCCCCACCTTCATGCCCTGTTGACCAGTGGCAACAACCCTCCACCTGAGATTGACGTCTTTGAGCTCATTAAAGCATCCTATGAGGTGAGGGGGCGGAGCAAGAGGGACCTAGACGAGCACCAATGCCAATATGATCCTTATTAACCTTGTACGTTGTTTTCATCTAATTGTAGAAGTTTGGTAGCCTGCGTGCCGACGTCATCGAGCAGATGAGGTTCAAACAAAGGTTAAAGGTCATACAGTCACTAGAAGACACCGCCAAGAGGAGTGTGGTAAGTGTGTAATCAAAAAGTCTTATTTCACAATTTTAAATCTCCACATGTGATCATTTATGCTGTATTGTGTGATATTCAGGTGAGAGCGATCATGACAGAGTCTGCCTTCACTATTGAGGAGTTGGAAGAATTGTATGTTCTTTTTAAGGTAAGATAAATGCGTAAACTCAGCATTTAATTATCATTTTTATTTGTTTATTTATTTAGTAATATTAATTAAATAGTAATAATACTATTGTTTTAATTATATTGTTTGTTTTTATGTTTATTTATTATTTATTTATTTTGTTTAAATGTGTTTTATCTGATCTGTGTTTTCCAAACACCTTAATGCTCATTTTAAATGAAAGAAACCACTAGCTGTCAGTATATTTGTGTACGTTATAGTAGTTACCACCAAAATCGGTCATGGTACATTTTATTTATTCATTCTTAATATTTAATGGTAGTAATATATTTTTAAATAATGTATCATCGTTATTACATTATTGTTTGTCTGTCTGTCTGTCTATTTATTTTTGTTTTATTTTACTTATTTTGTTTGAACACCTAATGCTCTTTTTAAAGGGGTCATCGGATGCCCATTTTCCACAAGCTGAAATAATTCTTTAGGGTCGTAATGAAAAGTCTATAACATACTTTGGTTAAAATTTCTCAATGGTAGTCTAAAACAACACCTCTTTTTACCCTGAGTCATTTAGTTGCATGTCCCTTTAAATGCTAATGAGCTCTACTGACCCCGCCCCTCTCTTCCGTGGCGTGAGCAGTTCTCTTGGGATACTCCTAACTTTAGCTGCATTCAGTGTGAAACTTACTAAGTAGCACATTATTAGGAAAGGCGATTTGCAAAGATTCATAAAAAAAGTATACTCGCTCCTTCTGTAGGTGAAGCTGGGTCACGAATGATTCACGCGAACATAGAAGCATTTAGGTAGATCGGGGGCGCATTCCCTTCAAAAACAAACATAATCCTCTGCGTCTTCAGCGGCTCAGATGTCGGGAGTAAATGACGACTCCTATGTTCATTATTACATCCAACAACAAAACACTTCAATCGCTTAGGAGCAATTCTGTTCTACAGCTGCTCCGGCGTCGACACAATGGCGGTCGGACTGTCTACAGTTCACTCAGGGCGGGTCTAAGGTAAAACACCAGAGTCAATCAACTATCGTGGGAGGGGCCTGGGTCTGTGTGACATCACACAGCCAAGAATCTGAGAATGGCTTGATTTGAGAAAGGGGTTATCATTTGTCAGGATTTAAAAAAAACTACTGGGTGGATTTGTATCATTATATGGTGGTTGTGTACACACACTGCCAACACACATTTCAGTTCAAACACCATGTAAAAGTGAATTTTGCATCTGATGACCCTTTTGAACTAAAAAGAATGTTGGTATATTTGTGTGCATTACAGTTGGTCAGTACCACCAAAACTATTGATAGTACATTTTATTTATTTATTAAATGATTAATGTTAATATTAGAATATTAATAATATTACTATTAACAATATTATTAACATTAATATAACAAAAAAAAGTAATATTTTTTTAAACAAGGTATCATTTATTTTAATTGTTTATTTTTATTTTGTTTGTAAATTATTTGATCTGTGTACTTTCAAATGAATGCTTTTTTTAACTAAAGAAACTACTTGCTGTCTGTGTATTTATGCATGTTATAGTTGGGCAGTACTGCCAAAATCCATCACATTACGGGTTATTTTAGATCTTGGTAACGGTAACATAATATATTTAAGATAGAAATGTAACTAAAATGGTCTATATATTAAATCAATATGTAATAAGGCTTGTTTTTTAATGAACCAGTGATTTAATAGTTTACAGAAAGGTGCTTCTCATTTGGTGCAGTCTAACTGGATAATTGTGGAGTTGCATGCATTTGTGGTATATGTCTGCAGTACCTACTGTCATGTCCTCCAGCTCTAGTTATTGTATGTGTAATTGTGTGAATGTTAGTGTACATGTGTGTCTGTCCCAGGCGAAGCACATCATGAGTTGTTACTGGGGTGCGAGCAGCAGCGCGGCGGAGCGGCACGACCCGAGTCTGCCATATCTGGAGCAGTACCGCATCGACTGCGGTCAGTTAGTTCAGCTCTTCTCCGCTCTGGCGCCCTGGAGCTGCGGCCTTCACACCAACACGCTCTCCAGCCGACTCTTCCGCCTCCTCGACCAAAACAAAGACTCTCTCATCAACTTCAAAGAGTTTGTCACCGGACTCAGTGAGTGGATGCGTTTACACCACAGCTTGTAGATTGATAGAGTCAGAGTTTGATTCGTGTGAAAGCTGTTACTGCTTCAGATAAAAGCTCAACAATCTTAGACCTCAAAAGCCTCTCCATAGAATTCTGAAACACGTCATCAGGGGGAAAAAATATATATATATATATATTTTTTTTTCATACACTCGATATATTCTGAAAGTGTTCTGTGTGGTTGAAGTTATGATCTCACACACAAAAGAAGACGGAATTAAAAACAAACACCTGTCAGAGAGATTCAAAACAAATTTGGCTGATTTGTAAATAATCATTAATATCATGCTCACATATTGAGTATTCACAATAAATGATATAAAATTTAATTTTATTGCATCCTTGGACTTATTTCATAATCCTTTGTCTTGCAACTTGTGAGAATAAAAGTGTTAAGTGATATATTTTGATAGCATTCAAGTTGGTAAGTTTGATGAATTTTTTATGAATCAGTTCAAAGTGTAATTTTCAGTGAATTGATTCAGAGATTCATTTGCAGGATCAATCGAGTCTGTGAGATTTTTTTAGTTTTTGAAAAGTCTCTTATTTCTCACCAAGGCTACATTTATTTGATCAAAAATACAGTAATATTGTGAAATATTGTTATAATTTAAAATAATAATTTTCTATGTTAAAATTTACTTTATTCCTGTGATCAAAGCTGAATTTTCAGCATCATTACTGCAGTCTTCAGTGTCACGTGATCCTTCAGAAATCATTCTAATATGCTGATTTGCTGCTCAAGAAACATTTTTTATCATTGTTGAAAACTCTTGCGTTGCTTCATATTTTTTGTGCTTTTTTCATAATTTAATAAATAGAATATTCAAAACAACAACATTTATTTATTTATTAATTAGAACAACCAACAGATCATTTTGTAACATTATCGCCATGTCTTTACGGTCCCTGTAATGAATCAATTTATTGCAGAAAAGCATTAATTTCTCAAAAAAAAAAAAAGACTACTCACAAACTTTTGAACGATAGTGTATATTATGTTTTGGTAAATGTAAATATCGCTGTGTTATACTATGCATATGTTGTTAATATCGGTGCATGTGAATGAAAATGATGAAAAACCATTCTGTTCATAGTTACAAGCTGTGAAAAATAGACTTTTGCTGTTTTAGTTCTTATATTAAAATTTTTTTATCTACTTTGCAACACTGTTTGGTGGAAATAATATACATATAATATATTATATAATAGAAATATATTTATATTTTATATATTTATA